AGTTCTCCAGCCAGAAGAGCTAGCTGGAGAATTCCGGGAGTTGAAGTCCACAAGTCTTAAAGTTGCCAAGTTTGGGAACCACTGAATTAAATGATTGATTCAGAGAATAGAAAACTCTCAAGATTTCAAACGTGTCCTTAGTTTTTGTTTGCTGCCTGTTTTGATACCATTCTGATGACTTGTCTTTAAAATATCGATAAATATTTTTTGTTTGCAATAGCAAATACCCAATAGATTGGGAGTTCTGTCCTAGGCTTCCTGATACAGTAAAAAGCACACGCTTAGTCCCCCAAACCCTCTTTTTATTTCAAAGACTGTGAATTATGTTCATTCACAGCCTGTAAGAGTCACAAATAGTTTGTAAAGAGTCTTGATAGTAGTCTGTCGCAGTCCTTCGGGAAAAGGCTGATAAGCTCCCACCTTCACAAATAGTTTGTAAAGAGTCTGATAGTAGTCTGTCACAGTCCTTCGGGAAAAGGCTGATAAGCTCCCACCTTTGTCTTCCTTGAAATGCTGCCAAAGACCGAATTGGCAATTAGCTTGCAAGGCCATACGGTGCAAAGAGTCAAAACGGAGCTTCAGAATTTAAACTGAGCAGAACGAACAAAGTTGTTTCCTGCAAAGGCTCCCTTGCCTTTGCTCTTCCTTTATGTCCTATGGGAAGGGCCAATAACCTCCAAGCCTTACTCCTGAGTTGTCCCTTTTGTCTTAACTGTTCTTGCCTTCTGGCAGCTCTGCGAATGTGTGCACTGAGAACAGGCTTTCCCTGTTCCTCTGCTTCACTGATTTCTGACTCTGGAAGCTCTGGAGGCAGCACATAACTCCCAGATGGCCCTGCCCCCCCTCTCTGCCTCTGACGTAGAGCCCTCGGCCAAGCCTTCCCCAGACTCCAAGACTGGCCCATGTTCCTCCCCAACCACCTCCCTGTCCGACTCTGCTGCCAGCTTCACAGGCTGCCGGTGGGCCGCAACATTGGGATTGTTGTGTATTGCTACCGATGGAAATGAAGTTTGAATTACTCACATGCTTCCACCTTTAAAATTTCTTTTTCTAAAGTTGGGCATTAAAATGCACAAAATTGGAGAGAAGTGTGACTTGATCCAAGAAGGTGGAAGGATAACTGATCCTGCAATAGATAAGCGCATGGATTTTCATTTCAATTCTATCCTTGATGTTGTGGCAAATTGGAGAAAAGATAAAAGTCAACATCAAGACGTTCCTCTTGGAGGTAAGAAAGAATCATGAAAGAGTAAAAAAAAAGTGCAACAGTGGCAGCAGAATATTGCATCCATTAGAAGTATGCATTTGTTGTGTGTTAGCTTGTCTAATGTATATGTTTGCATAATCACTTGGAACTCATGAATTGGGCCGGTTTGAATCCTAGCTAGATGTACATGGTTTATTGAATAAGGATAGTTTGTCAAGTTTATAAAACGTACCGGGGGGGACGGGGACCAAAATACTTTTAATGTCCAGAATGCAAGCTTAGTCATGTGTTGTTTATTGAGGAGAAAATAAAAACAGTCCCTTCTCCAAACTTTTTAAATTCATCATTTGCATGTATGAACATCTGAAACTCAACCAGGCCAGTTGTTAAGAGATTTCATTGAAATTATTGCATTGCTAGGAAAATATACAACATTTGTAAGTGCAGAATTGCACCTTTGTACAGGATCTGGTAGAATTGTAACAAGTATTTTGAACTTGAAAATAAGCAAGGTTTTGCATTTGTTAGATTTGCTATGGCCTTATATTGACCATATTAACACATGAATGTGTGTATTAGTGGAGGCAGTTGTCTCTGTGTTTGACCTGTCCATTTGCAAGTAAAATGCTACCATAAAATGGTCACAGACCAGTGGTGGGTTATGACCAGTATGCCCCAGTACGGGCGTACCGGTGTCTTCCGGAAGCACCCGATACCGGTCTGGTATGGTGCTCCCGAAGGCCCACCCGCCCCCTCACCATCCTTACCTGTATTTGAGTTCTTTGGGGCTTCTGTGCATGCGCACGGATTATATGGTGCTTGCGCGATGCTCCGCCGAGCAGCTGGAGTGTCACGGAGGCATTGCGGAGCATCATAGGTAAGGATGCATGCATGCGCGCTGCGCACATTCGTGTGGAAGATGCCGGCCCCCATTGCACCATACCGGTTGCAACGGGATCTGGAACCCACCACTGTCACAGACCTGAGAGTTTTAAAATTCTGGTATAAATATCAGGTTAGCGATATTTAGTTAGTTTAACTTTTTTTGGAATTTCTGCAATTTACGTGTTCAAATTTGTTACATTTTGACTGTA